CGAACATGCGGCAGCTGAGAATTGTAACTTTCCGGCACACAACACGTGAAATATGTATGTAAATAATTGCTGTACACAGTGTTGCTTGGTACGAAAAACGCCCGAAATGCTGAATGAAAAACGCTGTTGATATTGACAATGATCGAGTCGGTCGATGCTCAACTCTTTCAGCGAGTGTGGGAAATAAAAATACGCTATTGTTTGACACACGGCGGACTGAGCATGCTTGCTTACTTTCTTCCAACATTTTTTCGGGAAACACACACGCACATACACATATACACAGCACAAACAAGATGCTCAAGTGGTGGTAGAGGTGTGCGTGCACACACACACTGCTCCAGCTAAATGGAAATCAATGATCCTCGCACGAAGTACATCTACCCCCAAAAGCTACGCGCTTGTTGCGCGCTGGAAATGGTGTCAACAGTGGCGTTGCGGCAAGTGATCAAGCATGCGCTGTGCGATCGCCGCGGTCACTCGTTCAATGCATTGACTAGCACTTGACAGCCGCCATGGCTTTTGCTCTGTCATTGCTCAAGCGACTACTGCATGCTCGACTACCGTGCGCCCGCTGCACGCCGCGAGCATGCGCGTACAGTTGTTGTGCGGCTGCTGGTGTTGGCGCTGCCTCGGTGACTGCTATTGTTGGTGTGACCATTTCGGCGGTAGGTAGTTGCCACTTTTCGGCTGATAAGATTTTGTATTCCTTGCTTCTTTGCCCTTCAGTTAGTATTATCGATTTTGTTGCTAACTGCCGCTGTTTGCTCAAATAGTTTTGAGCGGCCTTTAAAGGCGTCTAGCTCGAAAAATTATCAATCGATTGCTCCACCCGGTCACCTTTGATGAAGCGGAGGTAGCGGCAGCAGTACAGTGCATGGGCTCGTCGCGTAGTGCCACCGCATTTTGTTTACGCTACATTGCAGCGCTTTCCGTCGCCTGAGTTGTACAATTTCTGTCACTGCTGCGCTTGAGTCGTCGACTGCTGCCTCAATGACTTTCGTGTGTTGTCGTTTTTACAATTTTTTTTTTCTATTTGTTCCAACACCTTTTTAATGAAGTGTGTATTTCCTCTGCTTGGCTGCCTCGTTAATTGATAAATAGTTGCACTGCCATTGCTTGTTTGTCAATGGCTCTTTAACGTAACGGCTGCCGTAGCAGGTTCAATGGTTTGCTTTTCAAACATTTTCCGAACTTCAAATCGATTTATTGATTTCTTCGTTTTTTTCTTCTGGCAAATGCTTTCTGCAGTCTCTTAAGCGGCCTTTTTAGGCAGTTTCTTTCTGTTTATGTGTGTTTTATTACTTGTTAGCATTTCTGTTGTTGGCGTTGTTGTTGTTGCTGTTGCACATATATGCGATTTCTCGGAAACATTTCGCTGCAGCGTCAGCTCTACAATTTCAAAATAACAACAATAGCAACAGCATTCAAATGCAGTTTGTCTGTCGTTTTTGTTAAGCTGGCATCATTTACCCATCGTTTAGTAGTTCCTCATTGTATGCTTTGTTCGTAATTTAGGTGCTAAATGTTTTCCACATTATTAACACCTCTTTATGGCCCATTCTTGATTGTTAGCTCAAAATGTAGTGCGCACTTGTATGGTATGTGGCCTAGCGGGCATACCGGATGAAGTAGTTTCGTGCTTATGAATAAAAAGTACGCACAGGGTTTTCCTTAGCGACCGCCTAAGTCTGGTATGAATGCTGTCAGGCAGGAAAAGTTATGCCATAGTTCAGCAGCATCAGTATTTGATTGTAGATCCTTAGAATTTGTAGGGGAAAATGTTTCCAATTTCTTTAAGGTTTGTTTCTTAGGGACAGACAAAGAATTTCCCTACTGTATCAAAACTTTAATTGGCTTTCATTTTAAGTTGATTTCGTAGGCTCTGTTGGGTTATACTGGCCGGCTGCTACGCCATACATAGACCCACTGGTCCTTAGAAAGGTCTGACAGATGATGGTACAGTTCAATTTGAGCTGAGTTATGTGTTAGACAGAACGTCAATGCTTTTTGTTAACCTGAAGAGTTAGTTGATATCTAACTCGGATACATCATATAATCCCTTGAACGGCGAAACTTCTAGATATTTAAGCCGAGTTCCTGATAATGCTGGACAGAAACATAGAAGGTGTTCCACAGTTCGTCTTCTACTTACTTCGCAGCACTTTCTTCACTTATTTCAAGAATCGTCAAACTTTCTGCATGTATCGTCGTTACTTATCAAGAATCCTCGCATTATAGCCGTGCTTACACCAGCGCGCCAGTCCTTCTTCCTCTTCGCTGCTTGGCGCTAATTGCAGATTTCAAGCGAAGCCATTTCCTTCTCCACCTCGTCTTTCCAACGAAGTGGTGGTCTTTCTCTTCCTTTGCTTCCCTTGGTGAGTACTGCGTCGAGTAGTTTCAGAGCTGGAGTGTTTTCATCGATTCGGACGACAAGTTCTAGTCAGCGTAGTCACAGTCTATTAATTCGCTGAATTATGTCAATGTCGTCGTACATCTTGAACAGCTCATCGTTCTATCGACTGCGGTATTCGCCGTCGCCAATGCGCAATGAAGCATAAATCTTCCGTTGAGCCTCTTTTTTGAAAACTCGTAATGCCGACTCATCAGATGTTGTCATTGTCCACGCCTCTGCACCATACAGCATGATGAGTGGTGTGGAACCCAGTATATATATTATGCAGTCACTTTCCGGCATCTTTCACTTCCGCCTGAAGGATACTGCAGTATTCAGGAAGCTTGAAAGTTCGCCTAAAATCCTGTTCCGACCAATAGATTCCGGCTCCCATTTCATTAGGCATTTTCGATCCGTAAATGATTTCTATCACCGAACAATTTTAACTTCTTCCTCAGTAGAAACAGGCTATGTACTTAGGAAATACCAATAGTTTCACCAGACATCAAGGCAGCCACTAAACAAACGTTTTGGGCTAGTCAGGTTGTAAGGTTTCCAAGAAATTTGTGTCAAATGGTAAATAAGATGCAAGAAATATCTTTAAACGGACGGAGCCCATATGGCTGCTATAGACCCCTCATGAACTATGCGTAATCCCAGCAATATGCAGATAATATGTGAGAATCCTTAAACTAAGCCACAAAGATGCCGTCTACACTGCCTTACGCAGAATTCCATTATTTTCGCATTTCTGCCATGAAAGTTGAGTTCTGATCGCATAAAGAAATTGGGATTAAGCCGGGTAAATATGGGATTTTCCATACGCTTACAACACCCAACAGGTATGCAGACGTGCCACATGCCACATGCTGCAGCGTGCAAATAGCAAATGACTGTTAATTTGCCATGCAACAAAGGCTAGCGCGGTCAGAAGCAGCTGGACGCTGTGTATGCTCGCCGAAATCAATTGGAAACACCGAAGGCATTGAGGCGGACAAATTGACATAAAGACTTTTCGCACATTAGCATTAGAGTCAAGACGCAACAACAGCGACCAGAGCTACCTAACTACCTAAACGCAGATGATACTTGCGATCTCACTCGCTCTTGTGAACGCTTACTGCCGCCGCACTTTTCTCTCAATTTGTTTGGTCGGTAGGTTCAGGCAAACAAGCTGACCTCTCCTTCAACTACCACAGTGCAACACCTGCACCTGTTGCATGTTGGTCAAATAGCATTGCTTTACTGTTGTTTTTGTCTGTTATTATTATTTTTTATTTTTTTTGGACAAAACCAGCAGCCTAACGGTGCTTCTAGGAACTCCGGAGAAATTTAGTATTTTTAAGGATGACAATAGGAATTTCGAAAATCGACAAAACAACATAATGCAACAAAGAGATAACAGAGTGACCGCATTGTACAACAACAACAATAGGAACTAACGAAACTAAATGCAACAGAAGGCACAAAGAGGCAACGAGAAAGCCAACAGTTGGAATTGTTGCAAGTAGCGCGTGCTACACTCGCAGACACAAGCGGGATGTTGGGATTCTTTTTTTTTTCGGTGCCGTTAGACGTACATTTTGAATATGTATCCTAGCACACATTTTAGATTTCGCTGCGCTTTCTTATACCGTTGCGTATGTGTGTGTCGAACCTATAAACTGAGTTGCGGACGCTGGTTTGGTGTTTTTGTTGCAGCTAGGAATATTTTGGTGCGACATTTGTTCAAGGTGCTTGAATAATTTTCGCTTCTCAACATTCGCTTTGCCGCATATGCTTGTAAAAGTGTGGCGAGGCATGTGGCATGCAGCATGTGGGCTATGACAAAGCCGATGTATCTGCAAAAGACAAGGAAAGTGGATTCTGGAATTTTTGAATAAAAGAAGAATAAATAGAAATTTTCTTGCCTCCGAAATGAGTCCATATAGCCATGCCCGTCTTTCTATCCATCTCTCCGTCCGACAGTACATACGCGAAATACTCTCTCAGTTTTTAAGAAATCGCTTCAAAATTTAGCATACGTCATTTTCTCCCCAAGAAGCTGCTTATTTGTTGGAACCGCCGATATCGAATGACTGTAGCATATAGCTGTCATACGAACTGAGCGATCTTATAGAAAACCTTATATAGCATATATTGAAATTTTGTATGGATTTTTACTCAAAACAAGGCTACAATATCCAAAAAATTTCATCAAATCGAACGACTATAGCATATAGCTCCTATATAAATTGTATGATCAGAGTAAAGTTCTTCTAAGAAAAAATTTTTATTTGATAAGTTGTTTCAATGAAATTTGGCACAGAGTATAACCGAAAGCATATCTACACCATCTGAATAAAATTTTCAGATCGGTTCACTACGGAATATAGCTGCCATACAACACTTAAGTTCTTGCATGGAAAACTTTTTTATTTGTCAAGATATCTTTATGAAATTGGACAGTTATTATGAGCAAAGTCAGTACTACAAACTTCTTTCATTTTGTTCAGATCGTATTACTATGGCTTATAGCTGCCATACAAACTGAACGTGAGGTATTTTAATTGCATTGTCATTTTTTATCCTTAAATTACTTTGTCTTCAAATATTATTTACTTACGTGTCTGTGAAATGTCTGTCACTGAGACTGTTCCTTCCGCAGCTACATGTATGGCTTTGTTGTGTGCACACTGTGACATTATTACATAATCTTCTACTGTACATAATGCACCCGAAATCACCACCTGCAAGTAGAAGGCAACAAAAGGTCATAAGTCAAAATTTTCGATAAAAAAAAAATAATAAAAGTTTTTGTTATGAAAAACTAAGTTACAACTACATGAATTTTTCTTTATTTCAAACTATTGCCCATATTCGGCATCGCTTTCAAATTCAAGCATTATTTTATCTACTTGCATATCGTCACCTAAAATGCAAAAAAAAAAAAAAAAAAAAAAAAAAAAAAAAAAAAAAAAAAAAAAAAAAAAAAAAAAAAAAAAAAAAAAATTATACAAAAATTTAAAATCGTTGCCAGATATAATAACCAATATATAATCATTTCATAACCAAAACTCAAACTTTATTTCAATATAAGTGTTTGGTAACCAATATATAACCGTTTCATAACCAAAACTCAAACTTTCTTTCAATATGAGTGTGTGGTAACCAATATTCAACCACTTTATAATGAAAACTGTAACTTTTTTTAATACTTATGAGTGTTTGGTAACCAATATATAACCATTTCATAACCAAAACTCAAACTTTATTTCAATATGAGTGTTTGGTAAATAATATATAACCATTTCATAACCAAAACTCAAATTTTGTTTCAATATGAGGGTTTGGTAACCAGTATATAACCACTTT